TAAAAGAGGCTCATGTTTGCCTTGCTACCCAGAAGTGCTGAAGGTATTTCCAGGAGAAAAAGAAAAAAATTGCTGTCCTGTGGTGTGGTAGAAATGCCAGCACAACTGTGACTATGTGAGCAAAGAGAGCCAGTGCTTTTTGGGGCTGCAGCAGCTGAGAGTGTGGCAGAGCGGTTTTGATATTCTCTTTAGAGTCCTGAAAGCATTGTTCCCAAAACAATCCACAACTTTGCAAATGTGCCCGAAGGAAATGCAAAGAGACCTGGGGTGTGAAAAACAAAGAATATTTATTTGTAGAAGAAAAGGAAAAAGAATGAGCTACACAACATATTTACATTGTAAGAATATTGATAACAACAACAACAACAAACTATAGAACCTATTTACCTAAGAACATATCTAACAAAACTACATGAAACATATTTACAGAACACTACAGCAAACACTAAAACATCTATCTGAACACAACAACTGTAAAACATATATACAGCAGGGTGGCATCTGTGTCCGGGATGTGCCTCAGTCCTGGAAGAAAAACAAGTAGCACGGTCAGTGCAGTCAGGCATGGAGGGGTGTTCCATGTGCTGCCAGGCTGGGACACTGGCACAGTGGGACTCTGCTGCCAGAAGTGAGGCTGGCTGGGGCTGGGGGCTGTGGCCCAGGCACTGGAACAGGGCTTGTGTGGCCCAAAGCAAGCCCAGGCCAGGCCAGGGATGGCCAGCAGAATCCAGTGCATGGGCTAGCGTGTCCCTGAGCAGGGAGTGCCCAGCCCAGCCCCAGGCTGGCAGCAGGGGACCCACTCTGCCTGTGGGGAGCACCTGCCTGTTCTGCTGCTGGCATGGGTCTTCATCCCAACACCATGTCCTCCTCCTCATCTTCCATATCAATCTCCATCTCCTCAATGTGCTCTTCCATGTCCACCTCCATCTCTTCCTCTGTCACATCCACATCCACTTCCATTCCTCTCCTGTATCCTCTGTGTATCCACTTCCATCTCTTCCTCCATCTCTTTCACATCCATCTCCATCTCCTCCTCTGTGTCTGTGACAGCCTGCAGAGGTAGCAAAATCTCCCAGTGGGGTCCTTTTCCCACACTATCCCACAGAGCTCCAGCCCAGCCAGGCAGCTGCGGGGTGTCCACCTCCGTGGAATAGTACCATACCTTCTTTGGAGCAAATGCAGACATCCTGCAGGGATGGAGAGCAAAATGCACACAACGGGGAGCTTTGGGGACTGCTGGGGGTATGAGGGAGCAGGTGACAACAAGGTGACAGGGGTAGGCCTGGAGCAGGGTGAAGAGCGTGCTGACACAAGGAGCCAAGGGTTGTGTTGTGGCCGTTGCTGGATGCTGGAAGTTCTAGCTGGAGCGTGCACTGTGACATCAGTGCCAGGAGCCCAGGCCCAGGCTGAAGTGGACAAGGGAGATGCTAGAATGATGGAATCCCTGGGTGCTTGGGCTTGGAAGGGACCCTAAAGACCATCTTGTTCCAAGCTGAGCAATCTTCCCCCAGAACAGGTTGCTCAGAGCCCTGCTCCCAGCTGGCCTTGGATGTTGCCAAGGATGGAGCATCCCCAGCCTCTGTGCCCAGCCTGGGCCAGTGGCCCAGCAGCCTGAGTGGAAAAGAGCAGCTGCATTAGATCCAACTTCAATCTCACTCCTGCAGTTGAAAGCCTTCTCCTCTCTGTGCCCATCTTTCCTAGAGCTGCAGGGAGGCCTCCCCAGCCCCTTCTCTTTCCAGGCTGAGCATCCCCAGCCCCACATGGACAGCACTCAGATCCGTGGGGGTCGAGGCTAAAGGGTGGCAAACGGCATCAGGAAGTGAGAGATGGAAGCTTTTGGAGATGGAAGGTTTGCCTCTAAATGGAGAAAAGAAATGAAAGTGGAGGGGAAAATGGTGGGACTCTGGCTCTGTTCTAACTGGGGAAGATTTTCTTTTCTTCTTTTCTGTCGTGCTGCCCCAAGTTTTGTTGTTTGAAAGGAGGTTTGGCAAAATCTCCATTGTCTTCTCCATTAATAAAAAAATCCCACAAAATTCCAGCAAAATCTGACAAAATTCCCACAAAAATCCCACAAAATGGCAGAAAAATCCCACAAAATTCCCTAAACTTTGTGAAAATCTTACAAATTGCAGAAAAATTCCACAAAATTGCAGAAAAAATCCACAAAATTCCAGAAAAATTCCATAAAAATTAATGAAAAATCTCATAATTCTTTAATTTTTCTTTAAATCCCACAACATTCTAGAAAAAATGGACAAAATTCAGCAAAAAACCCCAACAAAATTCCCCTAAATCTCCTCAAATTCCCACAACATCCAACAAAAATCCCTCAAAATTCTTGAAATTTCCTGAAAACCCCACAAAATTTCAGAAAATTCCACGAATAATCCACAAAATTCTACAAAAAGTAACTAAATTCTCTAAATTACCTCAAAATCCCACAAAATTCCAGTAAAATCTGACAAAATTCCCACAAAAATCCCATAAAATGGCAGAAAAATTCCACAAAATTCCCTAAACTTTGTTTAAATCTCACAAATTGCCGAAAAAATCCACGAAATTGCAGAAGAATTCCACAAAAAGTACTGGAAAAACCCCATAATGCTTTAATTTTTCCTTAAATCCCACAAAATTCTTGAAAAAATGCACAAAATTCCACAAAAAACCCAACAAAATTCCCTGAATCTCTTCAAATTCCCACAACATCCAACAAATTCTCTCAAAATTCCTGAACTCTCCTCAAAATCCCA